CATCCCAAGATAATTGGCTCAATTGAAACACAAAAGTCATTGATAATTTTGTTCTGTAAAACTGTCTCTAAAAGCTATGGTTAGACTATTTGAGGTAAGAACAGTAGATGACATATTTTTCCCTTGGAAAAGTTAACTTAGATCCAGTTTTATTTTTTAAAAATGTTATGATAGAATCTAATGTTGTCATTTTAAAATTGTGTAATATTATTGAAGTAAATGGTACAAGTATTATCTCAAATACTTGTCATTTCTTAAATCTAGCCTTCCCCAACCCAATGCCTTTTAGATGTTTTGGACCGAACTGCCATAATTCCCACTTGGGAATTCTGTGAACTGAAATTTGAAACTTCTGGAGGGGTTACCCAATTGCAGAAGACTGGATAATTCTAAGGAGAAAAACTGTATTGATTGACATATGTATATAGTGAAGAACTATCTCCCCAAATCTATTAAATAAATAATCCCCTCCATTTTCTTTAGGCTTTTTAGAAGTCTCTTGATTGAATGGGGCTAAAGAGGATTGAAACATGAGCATTCAAAATTTGCATTTCTATCAACTTTTGCATTTCTATCAACTTTGCCTAATGTGCAATTTGCAATGCAGGAAACTTCAGATATTTCTGTAACGCCTCAGGGCTAAAAACCGATCTGACCCAGTCCAGACAAATCACAACAAGATATTTTGGGTACTATGTATTTGTTTTAGCACTGCTACAAATCAGGGTGAGAAACCAGTTTTGTTTTGTTTTTAATAAAAGGACATACCCCATCCCCATAAAGTTAGTAGCATATATATAAATGTTCTTGTGAATATCTTCATGTGTACTCAGAGCATTACATGGTTTTGTGATAGCTTTCCTTTGCCATAGCAAAGACATTTGTATTATAGCAGACTGTTTCCTGCTTGCCTTTCTTAAATTATAGTAAGCAGATGAAATGTGGTTGATTTGGTCCAATATATACTTTCCTGTGATCTTCATTGAAATAGCCAATATCAAACCCACTACAATCTATATTCTGATCTTGTCTCAGAAATGCTAGGTTGCTGAGATATGTCATGTACCTTTCAGATGACCAATGAATGATAGTTTAACATAGACCTTTTTGGCTTTGCCGACTGGCTGGGGAAAGGGGAGAGGGGGTTATTCCCTACATGCAGCGGGCAAGCGCATGTGTTTTCCCACTGATCACGCGAACGGGAATGCACGTGCGCTCGCCATTTCTGCGACCCGGCTCTGAAAGGCTCAAGGCCTGGTAGTTGTCTGCGGCCCTGGTTTTGAGGACCCCTGGCTTAACATATAATACAGTGTGAACTGTGGTTCTCCTTCTTTCCACAGAGTAGGAAACCTCTGATCAAAGTCTTATAACATGGCTAGAAGAAATAGAAATTTCAAACAATGCATCAAAACAATAAAACAGACGCCCCCCAACCTTTTGGGCACCAGGGACCGGTTCCATGGAGAGAGGTTTTTCCACGGACCAGAAAGGGCATGGTTTCACATGCTACCTGCATCACGTGGATGGGGCTTCGCTTATTTGCGTGGCCCAGTTTCTGGTATGCCACAGACCGATACTGATGTTGGCCAATGGACCAGGAGTTGGGGACCCCCTGCAATACAGCATTTGTGTCTTCTGCATAACTCTCGTAAGTGGCAAAAATCGATAGTCTGATAACACTTAGTTCTTACTTATCCTTCTCATTTACAGAAGTATTGAACTGATACATGAAACTGTTAATTGGATTAGAGGACTAAATACATTCTGGGAAGACAGAAGTGTCTATATTGGTGGCTGCTTAGCATGCATGTTGTTTAGGCTTCAGGTGATCAGGTGCATAGTTTGTAATATTTTAAGGGTCAATTTTCTCTCCAGAGATTACAGTTGATTTGGTAGAATCTAGACAGGTATTTTTTTATCTATTTGGTCTTAACCTGATTTTCTACTATTATCCATTCGTTTTTCACCTGAAGGGCATAAAATTTCTCTACATTTGTACGGTATACATTTCTATCCCTTTTTCTGATGTTTATAGTTGGTGGGTGGAGATAACTGATACATTTTCAGGGATATCTTCAAAGTCTTGCCCAAGAGACTTAAACAAATGTTCTCCATTATCATGTAGAAGACAAGTTAAACCCTTGTGGTTATACATTACAATTCTTTGGAGGAGTTGGCTGCTTTTAATTGATCATTCTAAGAGCACAGTAAAATAGCAGGCTAATAGTTGTTAATTTATTTTACAGTTGTTTTATAATATTATTGTGAACCACTTTGTAATGAAATTGTTATTGTTATACAGTATAAGCTCAACAAAACAGCCTAGTGGGACAAAAGCTTTCTTGAAGGTTTCTAATTCCAAAGAACTCTTAAAGGTGTCTGCTTTTGTAGATCCAAGCTAGTGAAAATTTGGGGCAGCTAAAAAGAACCAATGAATCTTCTTTCAGAAAAAACTGGTGTGTCATAGGTTGTCAAGCCTTTACTCCAGTGCAATCAAGTATGTTTCATTTGATACCATCCATTTGGGACTGAAAGTAGGACTCAGCTCCTAGTCAACTATGTACATACTACAGATCATTCCCAAAATAATAGTAAAAAATGTGCGTGTAGCTCTGGGGCTGCTTGTCATGAACCAGGGAACTATATTCATCCTCACCTCTCTGCAACCTGTTGCTCAGAGCTGAGGGTTACTGTCTTCTTGCTCCCAATGCCAATGAGATGTGCCTGGCCTGACTGCTGGGCCAGGTCAGGCTGCTAAATAAATACAATTTAAAAGTGAAAAGCAACTTTGAAGCCACAGTGCCGCCGTAAAAACCCCTTTGCTCCTGGACAGGGCCAGGCTGATCTTTAACTGCTGAGACAGGGGGAAGCCAAAAGCAGCTCCAGAGCCACAGTGTGCCAAAATGCTCCTTGGCAAGAAACTTGTAAAGTGTGGTGTGCCCCAGGACCCCTCTGCACTCTCCTGCAACTTCTCACTCCTGGAAGAATGTCCTGCAAATCCTTGTGTGCCCCCTCCCCTAAAAATACATATTTTTTTTTGCAGCACAGCAGTAGCACGAAGGAGCATTTTTGCACCATTTAACTCTGGGACTGCTTTTGGCTTTTATTTTTTTCCATAGCTGAAATCCAGTGGGAGCAAAAATATGGCAAAGGTCAGCTGGGGCAGTGGAGTGCCAGAAGGTCAAAAAGACATAGATAGGGGGGCAGATAGTCAGGTGAGGGTAGTTGAAGCATCCCTGTAGTTATAACTGTGGTGGGCCGCCAAGTGCCCAAATGTTGATCATGTGACCATGGAGTGCTGCAAAGGCTGTAACTTCAGGCACAGATGGCAAGTCCATTCATTCAGCATTCATTTGTCATTTTGAACAGTTGTTGAACAAAAGTTCGCAACCTATATGCAGAGAATCTCATCATCTCCATTTACATCAATGCATACATAGATAGAGACTTGTTAAAAGCTCGTTCATTTAATTCCCTTGGCGCTAATATTTAGTAATATATACAAAACATACAGTATATAGGCCTTATGATGCAAATTATTTCAGAGTGAGATGTGATGCAATAGGAGCAGTATTAATTAATTAGAATCCTTAATAAATTCCCAATTCCCAATTATATCCATTATTCTTTAGTTTTCTGTATGCATCTGAAAAAGAAATGACCTGCTGTATTACACAAATGTGCTGTAGGTAGACTTTTTTAGTAAGTGATTTGTTAGTAGACAATGCTTTTGTTAAGGCTTTTTAATTCCTGCTACTTGTCTTCATTGCAAGATTCAGGTATTACAAAAACTAAAAATTGATTAATTCCTTTGTAGAAGAGACTTGGGTGCCCATTACTATGTTTTAGCTGAGGTGACATCCTGCACCTAGGTACTCATTCAGTTCTTTCAAAAAGGATGGAATTTCTATGTATCTGATTTAGTATTTGTGATTGTAGAATTAACTCTTTCGACCTGTTCTTCTTGCTTGAGAACTAAAGAGTTGCATATAGAAATTTCAGTTATAGGATAAAAACCAGATTGGCTTGCTTGACATTAATGTGCTATGGTCAAAAGGTCAGTACAGGAATAAGAATTTCCATGGTGGTGTACCAACACAGGTTGTATCAAATGTTTTGCAGCTATATACATACACACAGACACAAACTTAACTGTTTATAAACAAAAGAAGAGGATTGTGTCTGGATTATACAAAGATCATAAGGCATCATATATAGGTGCAAACATACAGTGAAGTAGCTGAGGTGGAAGAGATTTTGTGCAAGAAAAATGCATCCAACATGAATATGGAGGGAATTTTGTGATTGTGATGGCAGATCCATTTCATAGAATGTTACTATAGCACTCTAGGTGTAAACATGTATTTTTTACACTTCGTTTTCCCTATAAAAATGACCATTTGGATTGGCATTAAGCAGAACTTGCTTTCTGATGCATCTTTCATGCCATAGTCATGGTTCCCCAACCAAACACCTGATCTCAAACACACAGCTATTTTCTGAAAGCCTGCGTAGATTTAAGAGTATATGCACGTATGATTCAAATGTGATTTGGAGATTAAGAAATTATGTTCAGTACAAGCATTTCATCAACATGATCTTAAAGGTTCTTTTTCATCATTAAGGGAAATGCAAAGAAGTTGTGCAAAGAAGTTCCCATAAGGACTTAAATTTATTTTCTTTTATTCTAGGGCAAACTCAGAAAGTTTTATTATTATTATTTTTTTAGCAAATTCTATCATGTAAATGTTAACATAAAAACATCTGTACATTTGCCATGATACACTCAAAGTGAAACAAATAAGATATAAATACAGATATGGATGTAACATGACAAAGCGCAAGAAACAAAAGAAACCAACCAACCCAAAATTAAAATTAAATACATGCGCATGAACACTGTGCCAAAAACTTTTTTTCTGATGGCTGACTGGTTTGATAAGCTTTGTTACCCTGCCCTTCCCATTTATAACATTATTATTGTTAGCAAACTTTTTTCCGCATTCTACAAATATTTCTTTGTTGTCCTTTTAGGTGAACCATTACACTTGATAAATAAAGTGGTTGAGAGGGTGGTAGAAAGAAGATTTATGTGACAAGGTTGCGTGGTGCATTACGTAGGCAGGTTGCCGAGAGCTAACAGGGGGTGATAGAAAAGTCTTGTGTTGTGTTGTAATCCAGCAAGTACACATAGTGTACCTTTTCAAAGGAAAGCCACATGCCTCCAATAATTCAGCACTACATTAAGGAATGGACAGGATTTGGATGGTGAAAGGGATTGCATGGATTTGTATACTCCTGCCCTGGATACGCTGATGTGCCCTGTGAACAACAGAGGCATCCCCATCTGAGCAAACGAGTATCAGGCAGGTGGAGCCCTGTGAATTTTCAGATATAATGGCCTGAAAAGGGAATGGGAATGGGTCAATGGAGAAGACCCTGAAGGAAATCACATTGGTTTTTCTCCAAAAAGTTAAAGCCCTGCCTCAAAAGGCAGCGAGAGTCAAAGCAACTGAGCACACTTGGACCGGCTCTTGCTTTTTTGTGTGCCAGCAACATGCAGATCTACTTCCATCAGCATGGACAGAGTAGTAGTAGCTAAAGAATCCTTTTGCCCAGAGCATTTAAATACATCTTACATTCCCCAGGAGTACAGCTTTAAAAGAAAGCAAATTGTTGCAGATTAAGCTAGCCCTTTGAGCACTGCCAACAATAATCAAGGTATGGGTATGATCAATCTTAAGATGGGAATAATTTGATAGATATGTTAGGTGCAGAAAAAGACCATTATAAATAATTCAGGCTGACTGAATTATTGAGGAACTGGATGAGGAGAAGGCTATCCTCCTGAAGGACTCAGAGGACTCCTGATCAGTGAAAGTGAAAATTAAGAGAACAAGTGTCACACTAAGGAACGTGGTTGACAAATGAAAGAAATCCTTTATTAAGGAAGAAAGGCCTGGTTATCTGAATTGCAGCTCCAGGAAGCCAATCAGAGCTTTGAAAAGAACATTTTCTCATGGAACATCGAAGCAGCAGAAATAGAATTTCACACATATCTCCTAGGAGACACTTTTCTCTGACAGCAACATTAGGTCTTGACCAATATACAGGCAACTGCAGTGCATCTAAGCTCAGTGCACGCTAACAGAGATCTGTTGTCACAGAAGGAATACCATAAATACTGTAACAAAACAGAGCTCTGTTAAAACAAACAAACAAACAGTAAAGCTGTGTCAGGTAGGTTAGAATCAATATTAAGAGTAGTTTGCAATTTCAAACATTTTGGAAAAAAATATGTTGAAATACACCAAGAAGAAATTGTAAACTGAGTTGTCGATGCAGAGGCAGCTCTTGAATCGGTTCTACAAAACTAACCACATTGCCCTGAATAGATTGTACTGCTGCATATTTGCTTGGGATTTCTTGAATTTTCATAACCTTTGTCACACAGGTGATTGGTATTGGTTTTTTCTAGTTAAAAAAAAAAAAACCTAGTGGAACGGCTTGATTTTATAGCCTGTATAGATAGATTGTGTCTGAAAACAAATGCAAATCCATTCCAACTTTTAAGCTCATTTTTAAAACAATGCTTGAGAAATTGGGGGAACTAGAGTAGCTAGTGAAAGGTGTGACTATAATACAAATATAGTCTAATATAAATTCAAGCTCTCCGTCAATATCAAAGAAACATGTTTGATAAAATACGAACGTGTTATGCATCTCTGGGACTACTTCAGATCTTAGCAAACAGTATGTAATGCATTTAACCACATTACACTATTACCTTGTTTTTAATGAAAACTGCAATCCAGGCCTTGCTTCCCTTATATTCAATTCCAAGAATCTCCTACAATAAAAAGCTTTAAAAGGACTAAAAATACTGATTGCAATAAATATTTGCATGGCCTCCATCAGCAGATGGTGCGTGCTGATGAGGGGAAGGTTTCTGAGAGGCACAGCTGATTGTTTCTATGTCTACACATATGTCCAAAGATCTCCATTAACTGTGTGTAGAAACATCTGAGGATGAGCTGCTGTTGCTGTTGGTCGTCTGCGCTCTCTTTATATACAAATTCAACAGCTTCATCTGAAAAAGGACAAAAAAGAGAAATGTTCACATTTGTAAGCTATTTTATTTCATTTCAGAGCAGGTCACTGTTATTTATTTTTTACTATTTGTATACTGCCACAATCGAGGAGGCAGGTACCGAAATTGGGCATTGTTTATGCATGTAGAACAGTATCAGTATTATTTGGGTGGATGGAATTCCACACTTGATAAAAATTGTAAAAATTATTTTTCAATATTTTTTATTGTAGAATTTTTTTTGTCGTTACCAATAAGAAATCCATATGTTAGCTTCTACTGTTCATTTCTGAAGTTCAAAAACGGAAAGCTTGCCAGGCTGATCAAATCCAGATGCTCTTCATTAGTTTTTATGTATGATAAAGTGTAACTGATACTGCACTACTTTTCCATCAGATTCCCATTACAATTGTGTTCTCAGATTTCAGCACATCTATCCTGAGCGAGATGTTTCTAAGGAATGAACCGTTGTAAGTAGATTCAGGATCAGGATCACATAAACAAATACATAAGAAACTTTGGCACTCATAAGATGATGAGTTTTAAGTTTAGTTTTAAATTTCTTTGAGGATCATCAGACTTAACTCTCACGAGCATCAATGCAGCCAGCTCCTTGTTTACTTGCCAACATCCATGGAAACAAAGAGGCTGTTGGCATTCTGAGAAGATATATTTTTCAAGGTGCCTAATGCCCATGCTGATTCTCAATTCTCCCTTTCACATCTCCTGGCATACCGGGTATTGTTTTTGAATGTCCTGGGCACTGCAGAGGAATTTGGTCTCTTACTATGGCTGGCATTATTTTATAGGAAAGTAAGAATGGGTGGTCTTCAAAGTTTGAAAGAAACCTTTGAGCTCTGTCTTCTTCTGCCATTAGTAGAATCTTGTCAAATTTCAAAATAGGTTTCAAAACAAATTGTTTAAAATCAGTTAAAGGTTATTTGCACATCACTAATCCTACCTTCTTGATTTGTTCAGCTATACATCTATTCATCTTTAATGTTGTTTTCAGCTGTTATAATCACCGGATTCAAAAAGAGTTTTTGCAGTAAGAAAAAAAGCAGGCATTTTAAAAGAATGTGTATTGCATTAGAGAGTACTAATATATGTAGAGAACATTCTTCTAATTTTAATTAAATGCTTGGAGCAAGTTATAAGAAACTTTGATTGCCTGTATATTTTTTTATGGGATAAAATATTATTTTAATCCTTCTGCTTCAGTAGTATTTCAGTGTGGGTTCATTTAAGCAGCTGTTAATTGGCTTCTTTAAAATTCTGACAAGTGCTTGATTATATTGGAAAACACAGAATAAAAATAGATACTCTTAATCATTTCTTAACAACCTTCTAAATTTTTTTGAAAGAACACAAAAGGAACCCAATCGATAAAAAACAGCAAAATGACAAAAATCTGAATAAAAGTTGCTTTGTTTCGTAATTATTTGGATGGTCTTTGATCTTTTTTTGGGGGGGAGGGGAGGGGGAGAGACATTTCATTACCAAACTAGGTAACATCTTCAAAGCACTTCAGTTTATGCATTCAAATATGCTCAACACATTTAAAAAGAAATCAAAATAAATTTGGATAATATGTAAGAAATTTGGAACTAGAATATCCTACATTAAATAAGTAAATGGTTTCAGGTTTTAAGAAATGCCAAGTATGCTTCTTATGATTTCAAAATGATTAAATAAACTTTTTTTCCAGTTTGGTTCTCCAATTGTTCTTTGCTATTTTGGGTAAGTCACAATGCTCTATGTGTAAATTTGCCAAAAGCGTGACAAACTGAAGTCACTTGTTTAGCTGATTCAAAGACATATTTGTAAAGGAGACACTTTGCCATTCATAAAACTAGCAACCCACTAAAATCAGTGACTGAGATATGCATTTATTTCATGTCATTTTGGAGGGGAACCTCAGTTATCAATTTCAAGACTTGCCCCCCTTCATTCTATGAATACATTTTGAAGCAGAGGTACACATACCTTGCTCCCGGTCAGTTGCGCAAGATGAGGCTTCAGTTCTTCGCCAATCACTGAATAGATGGCCACGAGGCAAAACACACTGGCTTTGCGAACACTGCTTTCCGTGTTGTCATAACCCTAGATGCAAGACATCAACTCTATGAGAATCAAAAAACACTTTTCTTTCAATTTAGGAAACTCAAACGACGAATGAGACGGATACATGGCATTCCCCCCCCCCCCAGGGAGATAAATTAAGAAAACCCCCCCTCAAAACTGCTGTATCTCTGTTCATATCTGTCTGTGCTTTTTTTAAAAGAAGTATAGAGTATTTATTGCATCACTGCAAACAGACTCTACTGCAGTTTAAAAGCAAAAGTGACAACAGGTTTACTGATACATACATATGCAATACATCGAATACACATATATATGGTTGGGTAACTAGGTTTGTTTATTTGATTAGTGTTGTTTTGATCCATGACAAAATAGTTATATTATCATTATTATTATTCTGTATAGGATATGGGCTTGTCTATTATTTTAATCCTGTTTACATATTTTAAGTACAGAAGCCACTCAGGGTTGGTAGTGACTAGAATGACATATGAGCCCAGTTAATTAAATACAGGTAGTCCTCCACTTAAAACAGTTCATTTAGTGACTGTTCTAAGTTACAACATCACTGAAAAAAGTAACTTAAGATCATTTTTCACACTTACTACCATTGTAGCTTCTCCATGGTCATGTGATCAAAATTTGGATTTATTTTTATTTATTTATTTATTTGATTTGCCAATTGTTTACAAGATAATAAGTATAAGTGTATACATAGTTGTGAATACATGAAATGGGTACATATAAGAAAAATAAAAGAAGAATAAGAGAAACAATAGGACAGGGACGGTAGGCACGTTGGTGCGCTTATGCACGCCCCCTAAATGCTTGGCAACTGACTCATATTTATGATGGTTCAATTTTTTTAGCTGTAACCTGTTAGCTTCCAGCAGACAAACAGAAACTCATTCAGCTTTATAATGCAGCATTGTGGCTAATTAATTCCAGGAAAGCCAAATCAACCTTATGTTGTAAAGAATTCCTATACTTGCAGTTTTCAAAACTCAAATACTAACCGGGATTCTAAGTAATTTTGCTGTAATAATGCATCTTTTAAAGTACAATATTAATAGTTGAATGGCCTGCCAAGGGGCAGAAAAATGGAAATTAAAGTAGTATTAGGACCAAATTTTAAGTGCGACACTTAAGTTCAATAACATTTAGCCCTATTTAAACAGATACAGTTCCCATACTTTTTCTACGGCTTTTTCATTCTGTTTCTCCAAAACAAACTCAAAATCTGTGGTTATTCAATGTATTGCGCTCCCACTGATTAAGTTTGATTACTTGTCTTTTTAGCTTTCAGATTTTCATCTTCTTCCCTACCTTAGTTTTCTTAGTGGAGCTATTTGAATATTATTCTTTTGTATTTACCAGCTCAGGTCACAATTAGGAATGATCAGAATATAATGAAGTTGCACATGCTTGTTTAAGATTTAAGTCTGAAGAAAAGCTAATGATTAAAGTAATCCATTGGTACAGTCCAAAACACAGACCTAATTCAGCAGTATTTGGGAAAGAAATTTATCTGGAATTTTATTTGTAATTAAATGATTAATTGCTATCAATAGGCAAACGTTTCCAATTTATCATATAGTTGTTAGGCTGCTTTAATTTTATAATAAAATGTAGGAACTATGGTATGGGAGAAGAAGAAATCACAACATGTAGGTCTATTGCTTGCTATTTGGAGAGACTGCTCTGTCAAATAAAATACGGCAGATAAACAAACACACACATAAGTATATTGTCCCATTGCTTGGTTTTATGCAGCCCTCTAGTCTAATTTTATACGTATTTTACAATGAATCAGTTCAGATCCCTGGTAAAATTATCTACCTTCCCTTGACAGTCTGTGTGGAAAGAAAAGAAGGTTTGAAATAAATAGAATATGGTAACTTCTTTTTTTAATCAATTGCATGCAGTTTGGTTCATGACAGATTTTATGTGGCAATATGACAGAAAGTAAGTTGTGCATACCTGATTTAAATTACAAGAATGGCTATATTCCTTCTGTTAAAGCAGAGCTTCACCAAAAGGCATCTGGCTTGTACACAGCCATTAAATAATAATTGTAAAATATTCTATTAAATCA